TAATATATTCGATGTATACACATAAATAAAGATTATAAGACATAATCCTATTTCCCAAGAAACTAAGTTTCTTTGGAAGATATTACATATGAATATATCTAAAGAACAATAAGAAATTATATAAGTGATCTATAATTATATTTCATGTTCCTTAAACATTATGTGTCATTCATATTCTATAAACCAGTGGTACTAGGAAAATTGTAACAGAAAAAAAGAAAAAGCAGATGAGCCTACCTGGAAACATGTAAATCCGATTGCGTGTGTGTGTGTGCGTGTGCGCGTGTATGTGTGTGTACATAGTATACCATGGCAGCTCATGTTTAATATATATCAGGTATATTTCTAGTGTAGAATAATAACTGCCATCCCATTTTCTCATTTTCTAAATTTAGAACTAGTTTTATTGAGTTTTCTCAAAGTATGCTACTTCCGTGGCCTCTTAGTTGAGAAATTTGAGGAAAATTGGATCACCGAAACCAAGGGTTTCTGGAAGGTTCTTTTTACCAATACTTTCATCTATGTTCTAAATAATTCCAGAAGTTTCTATCTGACTCAGTGACTTTTGTTTGCCATTCACTATGTAGAGTAACTGCTTTTGGTTGTTGAACATATATTTTTCAAATGTCCAATAAAAGGCCCTTTGCAATTCAAGCCAAAAGGTTGCTTTGGGGAATTTAAAATTTGAATTTCCTGAGTTAATATGACACTTTAACCTATAAAAGACTCCACTGAAATGGCTTTTATTTGCTAATAATTGCAGACTTAGGTCGGGAAGACTTTCAGCAAAACATAGTTTGTTATTCTGAGCACTCTACTTTTATGAATGTCAGTAATTTCAACCATTTATGTGAAACATCAGTTGCTAGTAAGCTCCTTTTTTGTTTTATTTTCCACAGGTCTAGAGTACTGACAACACACGCCAGTAAGTAGATGAAAAGCTCCTTACAAATATGACTTGGTATTCTCCTAGGTTGCTAACCTAAAATTAGCGTACTCATCTTTTACTATTTTCTTCTTTAAGATACTTGTTTCCTAGGGCACTTTGAGCTTTTTGAATTTCACTATATAAAAGACATCATTTTAACTAGCAGATGGCAGTTAATTCTCTTGTAATCAGCACTTACCTATTCCCTATTCACTCAGCTGAAAAATCAGAAAAAATTACTTTAAAAAAACCACAAAATAAAAAAATTGAAACAGTATGTCTTCTGAACCAATAAATATGTGTTGAGGGCACTCCAACACAAAAATAGTTATTTTCCCTTCTTTTTAAAGATGATAGTATTTTCATTTATTTTGAAATTGCTTATGATTTCTAGAAGCATCTTTGGGAACAAGGGAAAAATCACCCAATTTACCCCAAGGTAAGATTCATAAGATTGTCAGAGTTGGCTGCAGAGTTTAAAACAACCCAAAGAGGCTCACACTCAGCAAGAAAAAATAAGGAGCCAGAATAGTAGAGTCTTGGAAACAGAACAGAACACAGTCACCCCTACCATTGGGGGACTGGTTCCAGGACTCCTTGCAAATACCAAAGTCGACAGATGCTCAAGTCTCCTATATTAAATGATGTAGTATTTGAAATCAACCTATGCACATTTTCCCATATACTTTAAATCATCTTTAGATTATTTATAATGCCTACTACAAAATAATTGGTATGTCAATAGTTGTTATAATGCCTTATTTTAGGGAATAATGACAAGAAATAAATGTCTGTACATGCTCAGTCCAGATGTGATCTTTTTCTCAAATATTTCAACCATGGTTGGTTGAATTCTTAAGTACAGAACCCATGGAGGCATTATTAATGAATAATTAACATTGTAAAATATTAAAATATTAATTAAAAAAAGTACAGAACCCATGGAAAGAGAGCGGTCTATTTTCATTCAAGAATCTGGGGGTCTAACACAGTGGAGTTTATTGCAATGTAGTTTGCTGTATACCTTGTAGGAAAAGGATGTCCTGGGAGTCCTGTGGGCTGTCACAGCAAAGTTATTTCATGATCAAACATTATTAAGTTAGATAAGAGATCTGGACAGTTTAAGCTTATCTGATTCTATGTTTTGTATTTGTTATTTTTGCTCTTAATTTCCTGAGAAGGTTTAAGAATGGCAGAGAGGCCATAGGCCAAAGTAGCATCTATAACAGGACTTACAGTCCTACTGATCCAGGCAAGTCTCCTGTGCGGGCAAGAAACTGGGGAACATGAAGGAGACAGACTAGGGGAAGCTCAGAGCATGGTGTTTTCCCTGATGTCCCTAGGATTGAGTAAATACTGCAATCTAGGGACATTCAGAGAAATGATACATCTGTCCTTGTAGTGTAGGACCATGACGTTAAACAGGGAACAGCAGGCTCTGTTTGCAGCTTGTCATCTGAAGGCACAGCCCATTCAGTTACTCAGCTGACCCCGGTGTAGCAGGCTGTGCCTACCTGGAGAGCAAGGCAGTATCCCAGGCCATAATTCTGCCTCCTGAAGCTTTTTCTCCTCTCCCCTTACAAAGGAGTATCTTGAAGATCTGGCTCTTCAGCTTGTGATAGTAAAGGCCAAATCTCAAAATACCAAGGTTCAAGTATGATTGAGAAGTAGAAGGGTAATAGGAGACTGCAAGGACTGCCGGGGCTGTTGAAAAGATGGTGGGAATGTGCAAGCACTGGGCTTAGTTTTAGAACAACTGCAGTCTCAGTGCACTGTTATTTGAGCTCCTCTCTTCAATTTTCTAGTTTTAGGTAATTTTCACTCAAGCTGCAGCACCACTCCTTATTTTGCTGCTGGTTTAATATCGATGCTTGACCCACTCTTAACGGTATTTGGACCTCTTTTCTATAATTCAGCTGCACTTACAGGCACAGATTGGCCTGTAGGTCAAACCAAAGGTGTGACAGGAAAGGTATATTCTTTGTCAGATTGTTTATCATCTATTTTGGACCCAAGATTGAACTGGATTGCTAAAATCTTAAAATACAGTGGATTTCCCAGTAACCTGTATTTGGGGAACTTCATTCCACCCATCACAGTTTTGGCAAAAATAAATCTTGAAAAATGCTCGACACACAAAAGAAAAGAACAGTTGCAGCCTTTGAATGTGTTGCCCAGCCCCAAAGTGACCTTATCTCACTGAGTGGGTTGTTTCAGGTTTAAAGTTAGGATTCTGCATTTCAACTTAAATAGCGCTTAAAAGAACTGTTGTTGAAAATAACAATGTTACAGTAATATCTCAAAGAACCAAGCATTATCTGATTCTCTGTAGCACCAGTTACAGTGTCAGGATGCCAAATTTGAATCTGAGATCATAGCCTTTTGGGGGTGTGGGGGGTAAAGAAATTCCTGATTTTTTTCCCCTTCAATATTTTGCGGATAGGAAAATATTCCAGAGAAGCAACCTAGAATTTCAGAAAGAAAACAATGTTTCTTGAAAAATCCTATTTAGAGTCCACCAAATTAAAAACACAGACACTTAGTTGAGAATTCTGCCAGAACACTTCAGTGAAAAGTTGTAAAGTGAGAATTTCATAGAAGTGCCAGTTCCTTGCTAAACCCAAACTTTTAACACCTTAAAAGATATGTTTTAAATGACTTCATATTTAACCTTGTCAAAAAGAAAGAAATCCAAATGCTCACAGGGGCTTGGATATCTCCCATGACAAGGCTTATGTGGGAGGCCACCCAAAGATAGAGCACCACATCCTGAGCCTGGATTCTGCTTGTGGTTCAGCCCAAGGATTTAAATGACTTAGAAATCTACTGTATCCATATATATTAAGGACAGACTGCCTTAACATAGGCTTCCTGCCTTACAGAGTGGCAACTATAAATGTTGGGATGCTGCTTGTGTCGTGGGAATGAACCAGCCCCAATCTTAATCCAGTACCTGAGCCTCTTTACTATCCTGGATTCTTTCCCTGTCACCTGCTATTGCTCTACCTCAGATGTGAGTAGACAAATCTTTCTACTCCTCCCTAGGGAGGCTTGCAAAGCTACTTTTGGAAAAACATTGATGTCATTACTCCAGTTCTTTTTTTTTTTTTCTGAGATCTTCCTACAGGGAGAGCCTCAGAGAACAGACCCTCAATTCCCTTTTTAAAATCCTTGGACCAGATGTGTTTGGAACTCAACATTTTTTCAGAGATGGTGTTCATAGCATATTTTACACACAAAACCTCCAGCAGGGTCTGAGCCAGCACCTCATAAATATGTGAATATTTCTGCAGTGAAAATAGAAATTTTCACAATAAATGGAATGAGCAAAGACCATAAATAGCCTGAAATCAGTTTGGGACAAGTTTGCCATCCAATGAATTTGGGTGTTAAATTTGCAAAAGAACTTTCAGTTTCCTGAGCGTTTTGGGTTTTGAAATTGAAGACAAGAGATTTTAGACCTGTATTAGGTTTTCAAAGAGCTATGACAAACTAACCTATTTGTTTTTAGATAAAGAGGAGATGAGCCTATGTACAAATAGCTTAAGGAGGACTTTCAAAGAAATCTTTAGGTACAGATTTTGATATATTGAACAGGATTTGAGATAAGTGGGTTGTCCTTGTCCCTGGGCTTCTGGCATATGGCCTTGACCATCTGTATTTCAGAGTTGATCTGTGACGGTGCTGTTGTCATGGAATCTGTGCTGCCTCACTGCGACATGGAGAAAGGGACATGAGTGGGCCAACCTAACCACTCTGAAACTCACAGGAACATTCCCAGACCAGAATAAAGAACCAAGCAAGATGGTTGGAGCCAATTGGCATGCTCATACAATGACTCCATAATAAAGTAATTACACAGTTCGATTTTTTTAAGCATATAACCGCCCCCCCCCCCTTATGTTCTTGATATAGGGAAATGTTTGTAAAGCCCAAATCATTGATGTTTTCAAGGTGGGGCTAGGAAGACTATCTTCTGGGTTGTTATGCTAGGGACTGTATACATGGGAAGGACTATTTTCCTGGAGATTAGGGCTGTCACCAGTGAATACATAGAGAGATCAAGGCTTACTTGGCTTCCAGGGCCAGCGCAATGATGCCTGCAGCCATGGGGGCTGAGGCCGATGTTCCAGTGTGATTGTCGGTGCATCGCTGCCTTAGATCCGTCGTGATCTAAAAGACAGAAGTGAAAAACTCAGATCTCTGAGGTCAACGTAAGTCACATGCAAGTAGAATGAAATTTACTCACAAAAGTGAAGTAGAGGGGTGTTAAAAGATTTGTTTGTAATTTCTTGTTCCTGCAACCCTGTGACAATATTGCTTCCAGACAATCGCCTGTGAAAACCGACTTTGATGAGAAAAAGATTTGGAAATTGTCCTTCACTTCTACTAAAGCCAGAATCAGGACTAAGGGGAACCTATGGCAAGAAACACTATTAATTTTAAACTGCAGGCATCTCATATAGTTCATCCTAGCACAACCTCTGGTTAAAACCAAAGTTCTTTCATTGCTCCAATATTTTAAAATAATTAAAATGTGTTGAATCGACAGCTACTAAGCTTGGCATTGGGAACCTAAGAAATAAAGCTATATAGCCCCCACTTTTTCCAGACCATTACCCTGAGAGTGCTGTAGGTTTCAAGCTAAAGTCTAAACAAACTCTGCCGTAGAAGGTAAGTTTGGTTGTAGAGCTTTCTGGAATTTATAGAAATATTGCAAGGTCAAACTAAGATTTCCTCAAAGACTTCACATAAATACAACAGGACAGACTAGTATGCTTCATATGCAATTTAAGCACAGAGTGTCTGCTTGTCCATTATAGAAAGAGATTACCTATTTCTCTATTTTTATTTTTTAATCAAATTATGAGAACTAGATCATTTTTATTTTCTTGGATTGAATCCAGTTCACTTCAGCTGTGGCTGAATAATATCATCATCCAGCAAGGGCAATGGTTTTCAACCTTTGTTCCATTATGGTCTCATTAAGGAAGAAAATTAAATTTAAGTTCTCCTTTAATAAGAGAAATTAAATATTAGGGAAGGATCTTTCTGGAAACCATTGTAATATTGTAAGAGTTCTAAAATTCTCCCTCCTGGAGAAGAATCTATCTTTGCTCCCTTGGGACTAATATCACATGCGCTGAGAAGGCACAGGCTTGTGAGGTGAGTCCACAGATTCACTGCTATCACTGAAGACGTCAGTAAATCTTTCTTTGGCAATAAGACAAGTATGTTACTACCTATTACAGATAAAAAAATATGTCAACATAAAGGTAAAGGAGGATAAAGGCAGCAGAAAACAAAGCCCTGTCTTCCCCAGGTGCTTCCTTTAAGAGGAATGCAAAGATGAGTCGAATTTGGTTTGCTACACAACTCCTGAGAGGTGAATCCCCTCCCCTTTAGGAGTTTCTTCTCTGTTCCAGAAGGCTGTCTTCCATTATCTGTTATCATTCTAGACTGACATCCTGGCTCATTCAGTTTCACAGGAGGCCATCTGTTCTTAGTATCTTTTGTTTTTTATGTCACCTCTAATGCCACCAGATTATCTGTGTGAGGTAGGAGTAATGGCATAAAGCAGTTGGAAGAAGAACCAAAACGTATAGAACCACATGGATACGGTGGTGTGGATGGACAGAGTTTATCCAAGCTGTTAACAAGTTTTCTGCACTTTCCATTATTGACTTTAAAGATGTATTTTTATTGTGCTAAAAATCATATAACATAAATCTACCTTCCTAGTATAATTTTTATGTGTCCAGTACTGTAAGACTAATTACATGAGCACTGCTGTACAGTATCTCTAGATCTTTTTCATCTTGCATGAATGAACTCTAACCACGGAACAAGTCTTCCTCACCCCTCCCCTTGTTCCCTGGCAACCACTGTTCTGCTTTCTGTTTTTATGTGTTTTTATGTGTTCTAGGTACTACATGTAAGAAGAATCCTGTGGTATCCATCTTTTCCTCATTAAAAAATTTCACTTTGCATAATGTCCTCAAGGTTCATCCATATGGAAGCATGCGACAGGATTTCCTTCCTTTTCAAGACTGAATAATATGCCATTTTGCCGATTCTCTATCCATCCATCTATTAGAGAACACTTGGAGTGAACAGAGCTGCAGAGTTTGCACGTGTGTGCAAAAATCTTTTCAAGGTCCTATTTTCAATTCCTTCAAATATATATCCAAAACTGAGATTGCTGGATCATTAAAAAGGTAATTCTACTTCTTTTGAAATTTTAGGTCAATCTGCAGCTTTATTTTCTGGTCTCCAGAGTCACTGCTGTTGAGAGATGGCCTTGCCTGCATTCCTTTCATTTTACCTCAGCCATGGTCACATTCCTTTGTCCATGCTTTATTATTATTTTTTTTTCAATGACTTGTGCCTGGATTCAAGATTTTTCATGCTATTTCCCAACTTGGCTCTCCTGGCTTATTCTTCAGCTGCACCAGACACTTTCAACACACAGAAACAAATCCAGAATCAACACTCCAAGTGTGTGTAGCAGTTTTGAGTCTAATAAATAACCACCTCCAGCCAAACATGAACAATGAAAATTTCATGTCAGGTTTGCAACAGGAATATGCCTCATCCACATAGAGTCATTCGGTATAGATCATATAACACGGACTTAAATAAAAAACTGTTTAGGACTTTTATAAATAGACACCAATGAGGTGTAAAACGATCTTCACATAGGCAGGTCTGAGGAATTCCAAGTCACTATTGTGCTGCATTTTAATTTTTTTTCCCCCAATCAGTTTACCTAAAAGAAAAGTGAGAGTATGAAGTAGGGGCGAGAAAGGGGTGGAGTAGGCAGGTGACAGAAAGGGAAAAGGTTAAAATGAATGGGGGTGGGGGGAGGAATCACAACATCCTCACTCCCTTTTCATCTGCTTTAAGTGGACATTGCAGCTGGAGCATCTCAAGAGGAAGTTACTGTCAGTGGTGGAGCTATTTAGGTGTAAATTACTGAGAAGTTCTAAGCTGGAGTTCTCATCATTTAGAGAAGTCACAGTATAGGAGAATTTTTATGTCTATCTTTAGAAAGAAAAGGCAAAGACCACCAAGGAAAATGCAATCTTGAAGAAAAATGATGTTCTCCAAACTGGAAGCACATGAGGTAACCCCATTAATCACAACGCACGCAAGTAGGACCTGACAGTGTCATTAAAAGGAAAGTTGTGTTGGATGTTGGGCACAGAATGTGGGGCAGGGAGAGTCCAGAGATTCTATGTGCAAAGCCAGACAATAAAGCACTTTTAATGTCAGATGTTCAAAAGAATGTCTCAGAAGTTGGTCTCGATCCTGGTGGCACATCTTGCATGCTACAGATTCCCTCAATTCACTACCCAAATCAGAAACAGAATTTGCCTCCAAAGAGCCTCTCAGATTGCTCAAGAAAATATCATCTGTGTCCATCGGAGGGAAGGAAGCTGGAGAGGAGGACATCAGGCCCTGAGCCAGATCAAAGCTGGCCTGATCAGCAAATTAGATTTTTTCAGCCTCTCAGGATCAGTAGCAGATGGTTTTTTGGACTCCACAAAGTTCGGATGTGATCTTTACTTGGTGAGAAGAGGGTACTGTTTAGGTCTAGCCAGTCTCCTCCTCCATCACCACTTTTTCTCATCCTAAGATCTTATTTCCTAGCATGTCACATTTCATTATTTGAGCTGATTGGGCTTTTGATTATAAGCTATCGATGCGGTTCTCTAGGGAATCACAGTGCAGATTAATTTTGGCCCTAAGTGACAGGCCTTGACAGCAACCCCACAAAGGTGGGGGGATGTTCTCTCCACGATGACCTGTGATACGTTTTACATTGAAGGATCCATATTGTCTCCTGTCTGTTTAAAAGAGCAACTGAACAGATATTTTTAAAACATGGAGTGATTCTGCTGTCTGTTTCTGGTGTTGATTTTGATTTGGATTAGACATGTGCCAAGAAAGCTGTTTCAGACACCATTATGGGGGAGAAGGGCAGAAGCTGAATCTTAACTCTATCGATGAATAAAGGAGCAGGAGTGGATTTATCAAGCACAGTGACATAAAAAGGAACGAGAACCAATGAATGTTTTTTGTGTTCACAATGGTGTGGAATTCAATCATGAATGACAAGTCAGTCCAAAGCCTCACTCCCCTGTTGGTAAGAGAGGCTGTAAGTGTGAAGTACAAGCTTAGGTTTTGCTTATAAATGTGAGGTTGCTATGATGTAAAGGGATCCCATCTCAAATTATTGTTGTATTTTCCTAATGTTCAGCTCAGTTCCATGCACAAAGAAAAGCATAGTATTTGCTAAGATAAACTGCTAAGATCAATCTGCCATATGCTCATTTTAAGGAAAGCTTTAAACTCTAAGCAACCCCACAAGGAAGGGTTTCCCTCTCATTAGGAATAACTTTCCCACTCATTAGGAAAGGCCTTAAAGTCATGTCTTTCTTGTCTGATCACAGAAACTTGTAATCATCCTACAAAAAATTTGTGTGTACCTGTATATATACAACTCAGGGGTTCAACTATAGCACTATTTGCACAATTACTACTACTGCCCCACTGCTTCTCCTAAAACAACCTGTAGCAAGTGAAGCAGTGTCCAAAAGTACATACAAACCCACAGAAACTTTGCAAGGAAGATATATTTACCAGCTAAGAATATGGAGGCTCAAAGAGACTAAATAACTTGCCTGAGAACACAGAGCAACCAATGCGCATGGGAGTGGTGAAGATACTAAAATGTGAAACAGCAGCAAAAGAAACTGAGTTTCAGTGGATAGTCCTCTATGAGAACAAAAGCAACAGAGCCAGGGCAGCAGTAGCAATGGTAGCACTGAGCTTGAGTCCCAGCCCAAGTTAGCGAATGGGTACGGCAATGTTCCTTCAGGGCACCGTTAAAACCAGAAGTTGTCAGAAATGGGGTCTTCTTTTCACTTTTTAACATTCTCAACAGACTGTGGATCAAACTTCCAAACATACTAAATACATTTGGATTTGCTAGTGTTTTACTTATGAAAAATAATGGTGTTTGCTAAGTTAAAAAGAGGAACAGAGATGATAGAGGATAATATGGTACAGATGGTGACAGCATTTGAAAAATGAATTAGGTGGAAGGTGGAGGTGTTTCTGGAAAAAAAAGTGCCTCTGCTTACAAGCATTAAAAGCAACAAGATAATCCTCCATGTGGAATTGGTCATTTAGAACAACCCTGAAATACCAGGCAGCAGGGTTTCTTTTTTCTGAACACAAATAAAATAAATGACATTGGGAGAGGGTTAAGCAGCACATACATGCTTCAAACCCTGGCTCACAGAATCCCTCCCTGAAGGTACAATGGACCCATATCCTAATCACCAAGACAAATGACTAAGGGAAAATGTCAAAGGCTGAGCAAGTCCCAAAAGAAAGAGATAATTTAATGATGAGAGTGAATGGAGAGAGAGGAGAGCTTTATCCAGAAGATAGAACTTGTGAGAAAGGTGGAGGGGCAGTGAGCTCTCACAGGTGGAATCTGAATGCTCTTGGACATTAAGGAGGGTGACATGTACAGCTTTATTATATAGCAAGGTTCCTGTTTATTTCCAATGCTAAATATACTATCAAATATCAATTACCTTCCATCAATCTGCCAACTGAAGGAGTTTCTCTAAAAGAAAAAAGAGAGCCTCCCTCCCTGTCCTCCTGTGTCTACATAGACCACTTGTGAATCTTCCATCCTTCCAAATGTCTGATATTCAGGGCTGGGATGTAGCTCAGTGGCAAAGCGTCTGCCTTACATTCTTGAAGCCCTGAGTTTGACCCCCAGTTCCAAAAAATGCAAACAAAAAAGAACCCCAAATATCTGATAATCATGCACAAATGTTTATTGAGCTCCCACACTTTGGAAAGAAATAAAAGTTTATCGTCCCCAAGTATTTCCCACTCCAGCATGAAAAACAGACAACAAATAAGAAAATGAATATGACCATGTTAAGTAGCTCTCAGTGCACTAGAAGGAAATTTGAACAGGAAAAAGGAGAAGAGGGAGAAGGAGGGGACTGCTATTATTTTAGGGAAGGGAAGGAAGAAAGTCCTTTCTGAAGTGAAATCTGAGAAGAGACATAAAGGAAGTGGCATCTGAGGACAGGATGCTTCTAACAGAGGGCACAGGATGGAGCCCTGGTCTGAACATCACCCAAAAGGTGCAATCTCGGGAGCTCAGTGCTGTGCCTTAGATTTTGTCGGAGGTCTAATTAAGGGAGTCATGAAAGAAGAAAAGGCATGAAGTTTAAAAAAAGAGGAATGAATAGAAAATACAATGGACACCTATATATTCTAAGTGTTTCTTTTTTTAACCACTGTGAAAAGGACACAAAATAGGTAAGAAAATTGCCGTTCCTTCATACAGATCTGTTAGGTGTCATTGAAGGTATCAAAGGCATGGCAGCACACAGATTTACAAGATGGCTTTGGGGGTCCATCCTGAGTGGAACACTTTTTCTAGTTGTGATTTTTTTTCCTTTTTAACTTTTTAAAGTGTTTTCTCGTCAGTATTGGAGGCATGATAATCCTTCTCCATGATGTTTTAAAGCTATAATGAGATGATGTATGTGATGTGCATAGTACCAGGCACATATTTTTAGGGCAAAAAAATGATTTTTATGACATATCAATAAAACTAAAAATGTACTATGCATGAGATATGGAATATGATGTATATAAGTAAGGCTAATAAAATATGATTTCACATCATGGCTTTAAAAATAACTACTGCTTATTATAATAAAATTTATATTTTGGAAGCTTCCTTTTCTGGAATGAGCCACAAGGCCACCAACAATCCAAATGTACGAAAGCAAGAACCATACCAATGTCCAGAGTTGTGCTAATGGTAATGGCAGGAAAAGCAGGGACAGAGATGATGCTATGTTTTGAAACCTGGGACAAGATTTCCCTGCTTGCAAACCATGAAAAAGCATTTTGTCCAGGACAAGTACAATTTATTTGACAAAAGTACTTTCCCAGAAGCTGAGAGGAGTTCTTTCCCCTCTCCTCAGGTCCTCTGTGACTGTCTCGGTTCAAATCACAAAGGTGCTGTATGAATGAAGAATGACAACCGCGCTCTTCTGGAGAGGCTGCAAATGACAAAAGGAAATGAATGGCTCAGGGAAGGGAGCCCAGTACAAAGGAAGACACTGCCATTCCTGTAGCACTCAATCACAGATGCCACTAACAGGATGTGGGCATCACCCAGGGACCACAGGCGTCTAGGTTCAAAGCCTGGTGGAAGCAAGGTCCCAGGCGTAAGGCGGGATTATTCATCATTCTGACATCTTGAAGGAAAAGGGGTCAGCTGGACCATAAAAGGCTGATGTCGCTGCCAGTTCCACTCATGTTCAAACTGTTAACATGTTCGCCATCAAAGTGCCTTTCTTTATGGAGTGGGTGGAACAGAGCACAGTATTTCTTAGGTTGGAAAAACGGAGGTGCAAAAAGCACCTCTGTTAACAGCAGCTGGAAAAACGACCAGCCTGCACTCCCAGGGTGCAGTAGGTTACTGGCTCCGGTAACAACAGTGCCTCAAGCTTTAGAGCTTCAATGCTCAGCTTGTCATTATTCTCAGTGTCCTCTAGCTTCAGGAAATCTCTGAGTTTGGTGCTGATATCACCTCCATTTCACAGGAAATGACAAATGTGACTCAGCACTAGTGGACACTGACTATGAATTAGGGGACACAGAGGCAAAAGAGCTAATTCCAGTCAAAAGAGCTTCATTTCCATAATAAAGGCAAAATCTCACAGAAGCATCATTTTTTAATTAAGAAAGCCAGACTTTTCTAGACACAGTGGTGCATGCCTGTAATCCCAGAGACTTGGGAGGCTGAGGCAGGAAGATTGTGAGTTTGAGCCAGCCTCAGCAACTTAGTGAGACCCTATCTAAAAACAACAACAACAAAAGGAAAGGCTGGGGATGTAGGACATTCTACAGGGTTAAATCTCTGCATTTTCATCTTTTACTTTATGTTTTGGAGTTATTCTTACTGATGAATGATGTGGAAGTACTGATTGTTGGGCTTACATATATTTTTGTTATTATTATTATTATTATTATTTTTTTCTTGGACTGGGGATCGAACCCAGGGCCTTTTACTTACTAGACAAGTCCTCTACCACTGAACTGCACTGTCAGGCCATCATGTATATTTTTAAATCCAGCCATGTGGATGAATTAGGGAAAGATGGGGATATGTATATGGGTAAGCATCTTCTACGTAAGCCAGTCTACAAAATGTAACTAAAGGTAGTAAAAAGCAGTTGAGAAATCAAGCATAAAAAAGAATCATAACAAGCGGGAGTTAAGAGACACTGAATACATTTGGATCAAGAATTACAAGAAGGCTAGGTGGCACATGCCTGTAATCTAAGTAACTCAGGAGGCTGAGGCCAGGAATCACAAGTTCAAAGCCAGCCTAGGTAATGCAGTGAGAGACTTGTCTCAAAATAAAAACACAAAACAACAACAAATACATAAAAAAAAAAACAATGGCTAGGGATATAGTTTGGTGGTAGAACAATCCCTGCCCCCCAAACATGCTTTACATGAAGGAGGTACAGGTCAAATATTCCTTATCCTAAATGCCTGGACTGGAAGTGTATGGGATGGTGGATTTTTTAAAGATTTTGGACAATTTGCATATACATAATGAGATATATTGGGTATGAGAGCCATGTCTGCACAAAAAATTCTTTTATGTTTCTTGTGCACTTTATATACATAGCTTGAAGGTAATTATATAAATTACTTTGATTTTATGCATCAAACAAAATTTCATGGTGCGGAGTTTTCCACTTGTGGTGGATTTGGGGATTAGGGGGTTCAAACTGCAGTGCCCTATTCTCTTTCCTATATGCCACACCTGCATGGCTCTGCAAGATCTGAAAGCAGGATCTTGGTTAAATGCTACCAAGTATCAGGTAGAGCAGCTTTGTTCCACTTTAGAAAGACAAATTCTGAGACAGTTTACAAAACCACAATCAGAGAAATAACCAAGAGCAAAGGTGTCTGAAACTTAGAATCGCCAGCACAGTGTTGGGCACTCCAAAGGTCAGCGCTTCCTTAATCATCAATAGGTTAGGCACTTCTATTGACTTCCTCATTATCTTAGTTATAACTGTGAGCTATACATGGATAAATAATAATTTTATAAAGAATGTCTTTGAGAAAAAAAGACCAAGTAATTTGTCCAAAGTTCCCAACTGATAATTAGCTGAAGAGTGAAAGAAACTTATGTAGACTGGACCGGCAACCTGAACTTTTAATCCTTTTGCTGCTTGCCTAGAAAAGAGGACATGTTCACCTCGTAGGACTTCTGTTCTTCTCCATCCAGACTGTATGCTGCAGTCTTAGAAAAGCACTTTTCTGGGGGTACACACCTGTAATCCCAACAGCTTGGGAGGCTGAAGCAGAAGGATGACAAGTTCAAAGCCAGCTTCAGCAACTTAGTGAGGCTCTGAGCAACTTAGTGAGAGCCCATCTCAAAATAAAAATATAACAGGCTGGGGATGTGGCTCAGTGGTTAAGCACACTTTGATTCAATCCCTGGTATTAAAAGAGAAGGAAAAAAAAAAAAAGCAGAGCACCTTTTATATAGGTACAGTTCAAGTTAAATAAATACAAGTCATTCCTTGGTATCTGCAAAAGATTGGTTCTAAGTTTCCTTATATACTTTTATATATACTTTCAAATTAGCTGGACTTAGACACCAAAGAACTGCAGCTAAGGTTAAGTCAGTGATAGGGCACTGAGATGGGTCAAGTTTTTAGTTGCTCTGCTACTAATTCACAATGTAAATGTGGACCAATCATTTCTGCTCAATAAAACCAATGCTTATTCATGTCTAAAGTTACATTCAATCTTTGACTATAACAATAGAGCCAAGCATTTTCAATGAATTAGTAACAGAATGACAATATTTACAATGACTTGTGTTAAGTATCATCAGCTAATCTCACCTATTACTTGTACATATATATTTATGGTTCTTTCTTCGTATTTCAAAGTGAACATGAAATAAATAGATAATGAGAGACATGCAAATGTCACATACTATTTTCTTGTCGTAGGACTCTCCGCTGCTATAGGTTGTGGCTAGTGTAGATGAACACTCTTCCAGGTACCAAGGTTTCTTTCCACTCTCTGCTGTGCTGCTGATGGAGATGGTATAGATGCTATTGGTGTAGCCATCACAGGAGCAGTGGTCTTTGCTCCTTCCACCATTGCCAGATGCCCAGACAAACACAGAGCCAAGGCCTCTCCGCCCCTGTTGACAAAGAGAGAGAGCTAAATGATGGTGTGAAAAGATGAGAACCACAACACTAGATGGAGAGAAGATCAGAAAAAAAACAGGGCAAAATTAGATGTGTGCAGGATGTCAATAATATTCACTGTATTTAAACAGCATTCAGAGGGGGTAAGAGGAGTTATTTCAATAAACTGAAACAGTCATGCAAGTATCCAAAGCACCAGTGAATATACTAATAATGGCTACAATTTATGGACTGAGAAAAATTCTAAATGCTTTTCCTGAATTGGATTGAATTCTTTCAACAACCTTAAAATATTTGTGAAATTTTTGTTCCCATTGTACAAATGAGGAAATGGGGTACAGAAGTTAAATGGTGTTTCTAAGGTTACCTATATAGTAGGGCCAAAATTTGAATCCAGATAGCCAGACCCCAGAATTGGAATGTTATTAGTTGTGACCCCCTTAGTCATATAATATTGCTTTAAATCTTCATATCCACCATGAAGTAGGTGTGATTATGCATCATTGTTTTATATTTGAGGAGCACAAGTTCTAGAGAGGTTATGCATTTATGCTGAATCCCATTGTCAGTGAGCAGCAGAACTATGTACCAACTATGCAATTCTTTCTAGAGCCAACCTCCCCCATTCATGGTGTGGATGCTGATTACTGAGGCATGCTAATAACACTATAATAGTAAAGGATTTCAAGATTACATATATTTTGGAATCCCTGAGTTAATCTTAAGTAACCTTCTTTATTGCAAAACTTCTAAGAACCTTTAATGAGTGAATGCTCATTTCAAAATTCTGAGAACGGTGTAAACTCTAATGTAATTTCCAAATGTATTTGGCCACAGATAACTTCTTCAACCAGATATGTTAACTTTTTTTTCTTACAATGCTAGGAGACAGAGACACGTTCTGTATGCTGAAATTTGGTCACTTAAAATAAGATAGTTAAAAGATTCTCTTAAGGCCCTAAGTAATTAAAGAATGGAAGTAAAGTAGAATGCAGATGCATGAAGTAAAGCAACTCTGGTTCGATAAGATGATGTTTTCAGGAGAAAACTGAAATAAGTCAAAATAAGAAATATTTCTGGGAATAGCTGTAGTTGAAATCCTAAGTAAGTTTTATCATTTTAAAACCAGAAGGCATATTGGAGGACATCTAGGCCAAATGCATCATTTTTGAGTCAGGAAGTAAGAACCAAAGTCACGTAACTGTTGATGGCTGAGTCTCTTTCTTCCTTCAAGGCCTTGTATTTCTTGCTACAGGTGGAGGGAAAAGTATTTAAGATGTTGTCTTGGAACTTCTGGGAAAAGAGCCAAAGCAAAAGAGATGATAAAGAATCTGGAGTATCCAGATAAACTCTCTCTGACCTTGAATTCTCAAGAAATAGAATATTTATGACATGATTTGACTAACCAGAACACAGGTTTTGTCCTTCAACTTGGAAAATGCAATATGATTACACAGGAATGGGGAGAAAGCCATAAAGAGAGGGGGGAATCAACTCCGGCTGCTGTTGCTGCTGGACACTGGGCCTGGACCTGGCTCACCATCCTTCAGCTTCCTATCATGATACCCATGAGACAGAGCAAAATACAAAACTCGCCATGCCGTCATTAGCTAAGAATCTCACTGAATGCTTTGTCAATCGCAAGCAGAAATTATACCTCACCTTGGTGTGTGTACTGGGACAGAAACTCTTGTGACTGACTCACATCTAGATCTCAGAGACAAAGAAAAAAAAAAGGCAGAGAGAAAAGAATGTTCCAACTCATTCATCACCAACAACTTCCCTCTCAATCAGGCACTGAGGGGCTACATTGCAGACCTAAAGGATGTTCTCTTGGCAAGTCAAGAGAGCCCATGCCATGGCACAAAAACCCCACCTCACTTAAACAACACAATGCATGATAGATTAGGAACCACAAGGCAATGGAAAGAGTAGCAGATACAATCACATCCACTGACTGATCTAGGTAAAATTATGAATTGTGTGCCCACGTATAAAATTCTATTAAAATATCTTCAAAAAGTAATTTGATTTAAGAAAACATTCAGAAAGTACTTTTGTTTTTATGATGTAGTTACAAATGTAGACTGCAAAAAGAAAAGTATGTTTTCAGTTTAGAAAAAAATGTGCGTGCCTGTGTGTATGCACGTTAGACATGTAGTCTACCATACGGTGACAATGGACAAGAAGTAATCCTGGTTGGTAAGCTTAGAAAATATTTTTATTTCCCTTTTTATATCAACCTTCCAAGACCATGAACTACTTTCTTAAATTTTTTTGGTTATTTATGGACATTTATTTTATTTATTTGTACGTGGTGCTGAGAATCGAACCCAGTGCCTCATACATGCTAGGCAAGCGCTCTACCACTAAGCCACACCCCAGCCCCAACCATGAACTATTTTGAGAAATAAACTTTCCTCTCTTCAGGGGGTAATTTTTTTAACACTATGATTGAAAGGGTTTTTACTCATAGAAAGTCTACTGCGTACCAAAAACAACAGAGGTCAAAATTTCTAGAAACCTGCACCAAGAACGGTACAAGTTTTATTCTGCACTATCCAAGTCTATATTATCATCGTTTTACAGATGCGCAAACTGAGAGGCATCTGAGAAAGGCTTGCTAATTCCAGAGCCAAACCTGAAATACCAGAGCCAAAGTCTGTGCCTTTAACCCTTACAATAGACAGGGGCAAAAAGAGGTCTAGTGGTTATTATTCTGTTTTCAGCCAAATCTCCTGTGTCTTTATTTCAGCTTGACATTAGGATCTAAAAGCAGACCAGTTCCAAGTTCACTGCAGACTTAGTGGGAGAATTAGAATTAATAAAGGATATATGCCTTTTCCTTAGCACCAAAAGACATTGATTCCAAACCAAAATTTCCCTGGAAATTCCAACTCTAGTGGGGCTCCCTCAGAAGTATAAAGACTGTTTTTCCTATTCTGGCAGAACCCACAAGTAAAATCACTATGGAGGAACAGTGACACTGTTAAAGAGTCCTTTGAGGAGCCACTGGATTGAGAGAGGTCTGGGGGACAAGGACAGTTGGTCGCTGATGCTCTGAAAATGTTCCTTCCAGAGGAGACATCCTTCTATTAAAGGGACAATTCAAAGGATTCACTTTACAATGGAACAGGAAAGCCCCCAAGGACAGAGTGTGTTCACTAAACATCTCCAGGTCTGAAGGGACATGAGGACATGAGAGTCCCCGGGGCTGAAGATAGAGGGACTAGCAGGAATTGGTCAGGAACACACTATCCCACATTGACCCTGCAGGGAGGTGGGCAGCACATGGACTGAAGCCCCAATCCCCTCCTCCCATATCTATTTCCCTCCAGTGTACTCCATGGGCCCAATCCTGCCAGAAGCCAGTGAACTAGGAGTCCATAGACAGAGGTCATGGGCATCAGTGTCCTTCCGGCCCAGAGCTTGTGGAGAGAAGACCTGAGGGTTGAAGGGGAGATATCTGGCACAGTCCTTTAAGAGTGCTACAGAATAAACTGTGTTCCTCCAAATTCATATGTGCATGCCCGAAGGCCCAATAAGAGTGCATTTCTAGGAGGATCACTAGTGAGGTAATCAAGGTTAAAGTGTGGGGCCGAAAATAATAGGCCAGGTGTCCTATTAAGAAGCAAAGAACAGGGTGTGTGGGCACAGAGGAGAGGCTTCCATGAAGGTGTCTGTGTGGAAGAAATATGTATCTGAGAATTCATATCCAGAGAGGAGGCTTCATCAGAACTCAGCTGTCCTGATACATTGACCTTGCACTTCCAGACTCTAGAATTGTGAGACAATATATTTCTTTTGCTTGATCTGCTCAGTCTGTGATATTTTGTTAAGGCAGCCCAAGCTGACTGAAGAAGAAGAGAGAAGGAGATGAACAGTGCCCTGCCCCTCACAAAGGAGACAGAGTACAGATGCAGATATCATTCCATCCATGAGGCAATATGACCTTTATGCCTGTGTGTATGATTTATGATCAAAGTCCCAGAAATACACAGGCTGAATTTGTGGTCTGAAAATGCCATAAAGACAGCTGCTAAAGATCTATGGGGTTAATTTGAAACAATTAGCAATTCACAGATTTATTTACTGCAGATGCACAGGGGTTTTTTATTAGGGTGAAATATTCAGAAACCAAAACATGTGGTAAAGAAAAAAATCTGGATATTGCCCTTCAATTCAGAGTAACTTAAAAATTAAATCATTATGTAGTATGCAGGTAGAAAGGAAGGTGGGCATAATATTATATTAAAAAAAGAATTCCCAGATACATATTTCCTGTAGGAAATAATGATGTTTTCTAGCATGGTAAATATTATGAGTGCAATTGGTTATTTAAATATGGCTCTGAATGAAAAAAAAAAAAAACCCTTTGATTTAATTGAGTGCCAACTTAAAAGTTAATGAACTTAAGGCAAAAGATATTGTGAAATCCATGCAGGATCCATTCAACCAAACACTAAATAGTCTTTTTCATTGTGTATCTAAATGTGCATGTGTTTTTTCTTATGTGTGCCCTACAAAAATCAATTTATATTACCCCATAAGCATTATTTTTAAAGGATAGAGAGGAACTAGTTTTTCTTGTGGCTCAGAAGGTCAGAAAAGGCCACTTTATGCCGGATTACCAATTCAATCATACACCAAAAGCTAAGTTTTGTTTCGTTACATGGTGTGATTACTTTTTAGCCAATGAAGTTATTTTATTTGATACTTTAATATGACTTTCTCCTCCTGTGTTGCTTAGCAAGGCTTCTTAAAGAATCTTAAATAAATAAGGGAGATCTCTTGCAATACAAAAAGGAGGAAGGAAATGATAATGTATGAATTCTATTATTACCCAATTAAGAGTAAAATGTAGAGTAATGCCAGAAAGGTAGATATTATTATATGGATTTTTACAAATTAGGAAGCTGAGACACATTAATGGTCCCTGCATCATTTAACCAAAACATCATGGAGACAAGAGATAAGGACCCCATGTCTGACC